AGACTTAATAAATAATGTGTATGAATCTGGAACAGAAGATTTATGTACAGATTTGTGCATTATTTACATGAGAGAGAAGCAATAATTAGAGATGGAGAATGAATTACAGGCATGAATTACAGAACACAGGTAATAAATCCTGTGTTAGCTGTTTAGGCTGGAGATGGCATGGGGGAAAAACATTTGATATGCCTAGATGTTCTAGCGCACAGAGATCTGTAGCGTCTGCTGGAGGGGAGAAGTGCAAACAGGTTGTGTCCGGGGTGAGAGGGGTCTATGAAGATGTTACCTGCCCGTTTCTTCACTCTGGAGTTGTACAAGTCCTGAAGGTTGGGCAGGTGCACACCAATGATCCTTTCTGCTGTCCTAACAATCCGTTGCAGTCTTCTTATATCTGATTTGCTGACCCAAACCAGACAGTTATAGAAGAGCAAAGAACCGACTCAATAACAGCTGAGTAAAACTGTCATCTGCGCTTGTGGTAGGTTTAACTTTTTCAGTTGACAAAGGAAGTACAACCTCTGCTGAGACTTTTTCACAATGGAGTCAATGTGAGTGTCCCACTTCAGGTCCTGAGAGATGGTGCTTCCCAGGAATCTGAATGACTCCACTGCAGCCACAGTGCTATCCATGATGGTAAGTGGGGGGAGTGCAGGGGAGTTCCTCCTGAAGTCTACGATCATCTCCACAGTTTTGAGCGTGTTGAGCTCCAGATTGTTGTGACTGCACCAGACAGCCAGCTGCTCAACCTCTTGTCTGTAAGCAATCATCGTTTCCCATCATCCCTCCTGCTGCTCACCTGCTCGTTGTCACCAATCATCCAGTCACGATCACCAGCTGTTTCTCATTCCACCTGCACTGGTTAAAAGGACTCACCACACACACACAGATTGTCTAGTCTCGTCTAAGACCTTCCAGATATTCGCCTTGGATTGTTACTCACCTGAAGCCAACTTACCTGTTGTTTGTTTGCACTCCCAAGTCTCCTATCGCCGATCTCCAGCGCCCAGTTCCTTATCTCCAGTCATCAGCTCTGTGTCTCCATCTCCAAGTTTCATGTGCTCTTCCTACAAGAAAGGAAAGGAAAGATTTTACCTCTTCATCAAGTCCTGTAAACTATGCTTATCTGATCACCTATTGCCTTATTGATGCTGTTGTGTTAAATGAAGCCTGTTTGGAACGTTATTCATCTCTCTGGTCTGTGTACCCCTGACAGAAGACTAGACCACCAGCAGACAACAGCAGTATGAGCTCCATTGTTGATCCGGCCACCCGGTACTGGTGGTTTATTCTATCGAGCCAACTCCAGTCCCAAGTCCTCTCCAGTGTGTGAAATTTTCAGACCAGGGCCAATAGTTTTCCCTCGACCCCGGAAAATGGTTTCTAACAGCGCCGACTTGGGGGCGAAAGTGGCGGATCCTGCGGTTATTTCTCTCTGGAAGGCCCTGAAGAAATTTTCCCCTCTCAGCTTCCATTATCCAAAATCTCGTCCAGTCAGTACCTCCATGCCAGAGTTCCATCCCGTCATAGCTGCCGCACCTGTGCCTCCATTCAAAAGGGCCGTCGCACATGAGACTTCATCCAAAATGGCTGCCGCACTTGTGCCCCTGGGAGTACTGGTGGAATATGATGGGATGTCTTGGAGCCCAGAAATGGCTCCAGCCCCCAAACTCAACCCAGATTTTGCTCCTGTCCCCGAACTCCATCCAGAGGTGACTTCTACTCCCGAGTACAGTCCAATAAAGGCTCCAGAATGCTCTCCAGAGTCTGCTCCAGAATGCTCTCCAGAGTCCAGCCAGGAGCCCACTCAATTAGCAGAGCTCGGACAGGAGCCCGGCTCTCCTTCATCTCCGCTGGTCTGGGATCCAGAACAAGGCCATGAAGGCCCATACGTCGTGGTTTCCTGAATTATCGGCGCTGCCATGGCCCCCTGAATGGCCGGCGCCTCCATGGCCTCCTGGATGGCCAGCTCCTCCTTGGCTCCCTGAATGGCCGGCACCTCCCTGGCTCCCTGAGTTGCCGGCGCCGCCCTGGAGGTGTCCTAACATGCACACACCACCCTTTTCACCTGTTTGTCGACTGCCACAGCTCCAGGACGCCCACTCTCTCTCCCTGGTTGGATTCCTTTTGGCGTGAGGTCGCGCCTTCCGGGAGGGGGAAGTACTTTCACAGTCACCAGTTCTGTCACCTAATCTGAACTACATTTTCCATCATCCCTCCTGCTGCTCACCTGCTCGTTGTCACCAATCATCCAGTCACGATCACCAGCTGTTTCTCATTCCACCTGCACTGGTTAAAAGGACTCACCACACACACACAGATTGTCTAGTCTCGTCTAAGACCTTCCAGATATTCGCCTTGGATTGTTACTCACCTGAAGTCTACATACCTGTTGCTTGTTTGCACTCCCAAGTCTCCGATCTCCAGCATCCAGTTCCTTATCTCCAGTCATCAGCTCTGTGTCTCCATCTCCAAGTGGCATGTGCTATTCCTAAAAGAAAGGAAAGGAAAGTGTTTACCTCTTCATCAAGTCCTGTAAACGTGTGTGTGTGTGTGGCTCCTCACCTGTCTGTTCTTCCTCCAGCTCCATCTGCTATGCTTATCTGATCACCTATTGCCTTATCAATGCTGTTGTGTTAAATAAAGCCTGTTTGGAACGTTATTCATCTCTCTCTGGTCTGTGTACCCGTGACAATCGCACACCCCAGACTCGACTTGAGTACAGATACTTAAGTACTGTAACGAAGTATTATTACTTTGTTACATTACACCACTGGACAGTTCACACTGGATAGAAGCCTTTCACCTGCAAACAGTGTGGGAAGAGCTTCACTGAAAAAGGAAACCTTGAGCGCCACATGAGAATTAACACGGGAGAGAAGAAAAGACGCCTGTTTGGAACGTTATTCATCTCTCTGGTCTGTGTACCCCTGACAGAAGACTAGACCACCAGCAGACAACAGCAGTATGAGCTCCATTGTTGATCCGGCCACCCGGTACTGGTGGTTTATTCTATCGAGCCAACTCCAGTCCCAAGTCCTCTCCAGTGTGTGAAATTTTCAGACCAGGGCCAATAGTTTTCCCTCGACCCCGGAAAATGGTTTCTAACAGCGCCGACTTGGGGGCGAAAGTGGCGGATCCTGCGGTTATTTCTCTCTGGAAGGCCCTGAAGAAATTTTCCCCTCTCAGCTTCCATTATCCAAAATCTCGTCCAGTCAGTACCTCCATGCCAGAGTTCCATCCCGTCATAGCTGCCGCACCTGTGCCTCCATTCAAAAGGGCCGTCGCACATGAGACTTCATCCAAAATGGCTGCCGCACTTGTGCCCCTGGGAGTACTGGTGGAATATGATGGGATGTCTTGGAGCCCAGAAATGGCTCCAGCCCCCAAACTCAACCCAGATTTTGCTCCTGTCCCCGAACTCCATCCAGAGGTGACTTCTACTCCCGAGTACAGTCCAATAAAGGCTCCAGAATGCTCTCCAGAGTCTGCTCCAGAATGCTCTCCAGAGTCCAGCCAGGAGCCCACTCAATTAGCAGAGCTCGGACAGGAGCCCGGCTCTCCTTCATCTCCGCTGGTCTGGGATCCAGAACAAGGCCATGAAGGCCCATACGTCGTGGTTTCCTGAATTATCGGCGCTGCCATGGCCCCCTGAATGGCCGGCGCCTCCATGGCCTCCTGGATGGCCAGCTCCTCCTTGGCTCCCTGAATGGCCGGCACCTCCCTGGCTCCCTGAGTTGCCGGCGCCGCCCTGGAGGTGTCCTAACATGCACACACCACCCTTTTCACCTGTTTGTCGACTGCCACAGCTCCAGGACGCCCACTCTCTCTCCCTGGTTGGATTCCTTTTGGCGTGAGGTCGCGCCTTCCGGGAGGGGGAAGTACTTTCACAGTCACCAGTTCTGTCACCTAATCTGAACTACATTTTCCATCATCCCTCCTGCTGCTCACCTGCTCGTTGTCACCAATCATCCAGTCATGATCACCTGCTGTCTCTCATTCCACCTGCACTGGATAAAAGGACTCACCACACACACACAGATTGTTTAGTCTCGTCTAAGACCTTCCAGATATTCGCCTTGGATTGTTACTCACCTGAAGTCTACATACCTGTTGCTTGTTTGCACTCCCAAGTCTCCGATCTCCAGCATCCAGTTCCTTATCTCCAGTCATCAGCTCTGTGTCTCCATCTCCAAGTGGCATGTGCTATTCCTAAAAGAAAGGAAAGGAAAGTGTTTACCTCTTCATCAAGTCCTGTAAACGTGTGTGTGTGTGTGGCTCCTCACCTGTCTGTTCTTCCTCCAGCTCCATCTGCTATGCTTATCTGATCACCTATTGCCTTATCAATGCTGTTGTGTTAAATAAAGCCTGTTTGGAACGTTATTCATCTCTCTCTGGTCTGTGTACCCCTGACAATCGCACACCCCAGACTCGACTTGAGTACAGATACTTAAGTACTGTAACGAAGTATTATTACTTTGTTACATTACACCACTGGACAGTTCACACTGGATAGAAGCCTTTCACCTGCAAACAGTGTGGGAAGAGCTTCACTGAAAAAGGAAACCTTGAGCGCCACATGAGAATTAACACGGGAGAGAAGTGTTTCACCTACCAATAGTGTGGAAAGAGCTTCAATGATAAAGGACACTTTGAAGGCCACATGATAATTCACACTGGAGAGAAGCCTAACACCTGCCAACGGTGTGGGAAGAGTTTCACTGAAAAAAAGAAACGTAAAACTCCACATGAGCGTTCACACTGGAGAGAAGCATTTCACTTGCCAACAGTGTGGGAAGAGTTTCACACAAAAACAACATCTTAAAGTCCACATGAGAAGTCACACGGGAGAGAAAGCTTTTACTTGCCAACAGTGTGGAAAGAGCTTCTCTCAAAGAGGACATCTTAAAGTCCTCATGAGAGTTCACACTGGAGAGAAGCCTTTCACCTACCAATAGTGTGGAAAGAGCTCCAATGATAAAGGACACTTTGAAGGCCACATGATAATTCACACTGGAGAGAAGCCTAACACCTGCCAACGGTGTGAGAAGAGTTTCACTGAAAAAAAGAAACATAAAACTCTACATGAGCGTTCACACTGGAGAGAAGCCTTTCACTTGCCAACAGTGTGGGAAGAGTTTCACACAAAAACAACATCTTAAAGTCCACATGAGATGTCACACTGGAGAAAAAGCTTTTACTTGCCAACAGTGTGGAAGGAGCTTCACAACAGCAATACATTTCAGTGGCCTGTAGCACGAAGCGAGATGAACAAACTCAGAGTTGCAGAGTAAGTTTTGAGTTGACAAAACCCGATAAATCCAACCTGGTTTAGATCAGGATCAGTGGGCTCGCAAGGCTCGATATAAACGTACTCCTTCAACTCAGAGTTTGAACCAGAGTTTGCGATTAACTCTGGAGCGCTTGCACCTGAAAGTGTGACACGTGCAGCAAACAGCCAATCACAGGGAACGTGTGGAGAGCATTAGCAGAGTGTCATTTGGATTCACTTCTCACGAGAGTCAGCGTAAGTTACCATAGCAACGAAACCCACTCGGAACCAACCCATCTTCTTGAGCCAGAAAACTCAAGAGTTTGCTCAACCTAAACTTGAACTTACCTGGGCAAAAACTGATACCGGCTTCATGCTACAGGCCACAGGTGTCACATGAGAATTCACACCGGAGAGAAGCCGTTTACTTTTGATCAGTGTGGAAAGAGTTTCAAACAAAAAAATCATTTAACGGTCACTTGAGTTCACCCAAGAAGTGTGGAAAAAGTCATGAAGTGCCATTTTTTAGTTTCATAGTTAATCCCTGTGCCACAACCCATGTACCATATATTTTAAATATTTGTTCAGTTTGCACATTGACTCCTTTGTGGCGGGCCATATCTGTGGTGATGCATGTTGCAGTAGTGCTGGCACATCCAGTTACTGCAAGCCGTTATAATGTACTCTGGCATGTTTATTTTTTTTTAGCATTTTGAGAGGAGAACAGTTCACATATGTGACTTCAACAACCAGATGCATTTTGTCCAGTTTCATCTGGAATGTCTTTTTTTTTCTTTTTCGATTGGATAGCTATGTGATCAGAGAAAACACATGAATTGACCAGGTACACATGCACTGAGTCTCCAGATGCCATCACAGTCATTTTGATGTGTGTGGAATGTGAACAGGGACTATTGTCTGCACTGATAACCTAGGGCAGGGTTCTCAAATCTCGGTCCTAGAGGGCCACTGTCCTTCAGAGTTTAGCTCCAAAACCAATTAAACACACCTGACCAGCTAATCAAGGTTAACTAGGCATACTAGAAACTTTCAGCCAGGTATTTTGGAGCTGCTTGGAACTAAACTATGCAGGACAGTGGCCCTCCAGTACTGAGTCTGGAGACCCCTGGCCTAGTGGTTAACACTGATATATGGTGCAACTGCTTCACCAGTGACCCGGGTTCGAATCCTGACTCGCAGTCCTTTGCCGATCTCGTTCCCCTCTCTTCACCCCCATGCTTTCCTGTCAGTCTCTACTGTCCTGTCCTAAAAAAAAACTAAAAACAAGGACTCTGTATACTTGGTTGAAGTTTACGGCATTAACTATTTACTGCAGAACAAGCTGTACGGGTTTTTTTTGTTTATTTGTTTGTTTGTTTTTTAGGTATTGTGTCAGAAATGTGGGATATTCATATAGAATTGTATATTTTATTTTATATTTATATTATTAATGTAACCATTATAGCACTTTTTACAATACAGATAAAGTCAAAGCATCTTTAGCAGCTCTAAACAATGTAATGACATGAAAAAATAGCCTAACTGCTTGTTCACATCGAGACGAATATCGCGCGCGATTATCACTGATGTTTAACGCCTCGTGACTAAACAAAAGGGCGCCAATGTGAGTGTGCACACCGACGCGCAAAACGCGAGGCGTAAAAGCGTAATTTTTTTTAAAAACGCCTCTGGCTCATTTTTTTGGTTTGACGCGCCGTGTTACAAGCTGGCCGACCAATGAGATTGCCGCTTTTGTTCACGTGTCTGGAGCTGCTGAAGTTACAGTAAAACACGACTTGATGGCGCTCAAGCACAAAACGGTCTTGCCCGAGCACACATTGATACCTAACGACGAAGAGGAAGTAAGTAAGGCAAGGCAAGTTTATTTATATAGCACATTTCGTACACAATGGTAATTCAAAGTGCTTTACATAAAAAAAAAGACTATGGTAATAATAAAAAAATAATAATCACAACAATAAAACAAGGAATTTAAAAACTTTGAGAATGATTTAAAAATTGATTTAAGAGGTTTAAAATGAATTTACAACCGTTAAGAATAGAAAATGATTATACATAAAATATAGTGCAATCAGTTCGGACATTGTTCAGTGCTCATTCAATAAATGCACAGCTAAACAGATTAGTTTTGCGTCTGCATTTAAATGTGACTAATATAAACGAGTAAAATACTTTAAAATCAATCCTAAATGTAACTTGAAGCCAGTGTAAGGACCTGAGGACTGGTGTGATCTGCTCAGATTTTCTGGTTCTAGTCAGAATTCTGGCGGCAGTGTTCTGGATGAGCTGCAGCTGTCTAATGGTCTTCTTGTGAAGGCTGGTGAAGAGACCGTTTAAGTGAATGTCATTTATTATCTTAATGAGCGCTGTCTCTTTGCTGTGATGCGGTCGGAAACCAGATTGAAAAGCATTGTGGCAGCGGCCGGAGAGCTCTCACAGTAGGAGGAGGGCGAGGTGGGAGGACAGGCTTTAGTGGTTGTGGGGTCCGCCATTTTTTAGTTGATATCTGGGAACTTGCAGCGAAAGAGTGGGAGAGTTTGGTCCCAGCATAAACCAGTTCCTCCATTTTCTGTGAGAAGCTTAGAAGTGGAGATGCTGGAGAGAGGGATAATGTGTCTGGTGAGCGGGGCTGTGGCTCTGGTGGCAGGGCTCAGCCGGGGTAGTTTCCATGAGCAGTGCTTGTTGTGGCTGCGTGGTGTTATCAGTGTCCTTGTGGGATGTGTCAACCACATGATGACTCGGAAGCTGATATGAAGTCCTGTGGTCACTCATACTCTGTCCAGGTGTGTGTGTGCCATTCAGGTTGAGTAGTTTGGCACACACTACTGAAGGATGACGGATGGAGAAGTAGATGTTGTCCTTTAGCACTCTTGCACCAAGTTTGTTTAGGTGGAGGCCATCCAGTTTAAACAGTTGTCTATGGCCCCAGAAAAGATTGAAGTTGTCGATGAAATTGACTCTTTTTAAACTGCAGATTCTTTGTAGCCATGTGTTCAGCCCAAGCAAACGTGAAAACATGTTGGTTCCCCTTGCTGGGAGTGGTCCACTAATGAACGGCTGAACTTTAAGTCTTCAAAGTGTTTCAAATAGTTCACTGAAGTCCTTAAGGAGTTCTGACTGCTCTTTCTGAATATCATTCTTCCCCACATGGATGATGATTCGATTTGCAGTCTTGTGCTTCATTAGAATTTTCCGAAGTTCCTTGTTCAAATCAGAAACTGTTGCTTGAGGAAAGCAGAAAGTTGCTGAATTTCTGCTACTGATGTTTCTGATAATGGAGTCGCCCACTATCAGAATCCTGGGCTCGGCTGCGCTCTGAGCTGAAAGCCGCTGTCTACTCGACCTTGAGCGTCTGTTAGTAGCGATGTTAGCTGCTGGCTGATCCGATCCATGTTTAATCACATTTGGGGATTCCTCACCCGCATTCATTAATGCTTCAAATCTGTTCTCAAGATGTATAGGGGGTGGTAGAATACCAGTGTTCACAAGCCTTGTCATAGCCATATCTGGGGTAGAGGATGCTACGGCAGCAATACGAGAAACTCGTGACAATCTGATGTCTCGTGTGCCTTTAAGTCTCGCTCTCTGTTTGTGCCATCGACTCAACCGTTTATACCAAGTGTAGAGGAACAAGCCGAAACTGATTGTCACACTAGATTCACTAGATTCATGGGACTCACCCGGCTGTATGCTGAGGGGGTCCGTGATGACGGTCTGCTGAGTGTTCTGCCTGTTTTGGAAGTCCAGCAAGTAACTTTGTTTCAAGAACCGCAATCCTTTGTAGAAGTTTGCAGCAGTTCATGCAGCAAGTAGATTCAACAGGAGGCATTTTCTTTCTCTTCTGTTTGAATGTGGGCAGCTGTGTTTTCCTGTCTCTGGAATGTAAGCTGCTAGCAGTGGGAGACAAAGTCTTCTGTTTCGTGGTATTATTCCAGTCTCAAAGAGTTTTTAGTTTTAGTGTTTGTGCCAAAAATGTGTTGTTTGAGCACTGTGCTGATCTGCTGCAGTAAAAATCTTAGAAAAATCCGATAAAAGTACAGAAATAGGGAGCAAAGCGCAGAGCAGTAAGCAAGAACGTCCGAACGGTATCGAAGCCGGAAGTAGACCAAGAAGATGCATCGAGGCAAGATGAATGTAGAGCTGCTGGTCTCATTGGTGTCTGAACACAAAGGGCTTTATGACAAATGCGACAGCGACTACAAAAATCTCAATAAGAGGGAGTTGTTATGGAGAGGAATTGCAGATCAAATAGGATTCGATGTGTACCGGGGTATTTCTGTCAAAAAACGTCAAAAACGTCAAAAAACATCGGCGATAAGCGAGCGATAATCATCCCGGTGTGTACAAGGCTTAATAAATTCACAAAACCTTTAATTTTTTCGGGTCTCAGGAGGATATTTTTACACATGCTCTAGTGTAGATATTTACCTGTAGTTGTTAATGACGATGGGTGTCATCAGATTTCTGTTTATGCTTTCATTTTTCATTCTTACTGTTATTTAGAAAGATGGACAACAGAAATACATAGAATGTGTGAATTACCTCTTATGTGAGTGCAGTCTTACTGAATGAGCATTTTAAACTGATGTGCTCTACACTCTTACTTTTGTGTCAACACTCTTTTAATATAGCGATATAACGATTTACAGTGCCTCTTTGATTTCTTGATGATTTTGGCAAATTTGCTTCTTCCACACAGAAATTCAGCTGGAATATTCCCATCAGTTTACAAGTGAAGACGAGCATCAAAGCATCAGGAAGAAATCTGTAAAGACTGAGTTTATTAAAGAGGACAGAGAGAAGATGAGAGATCCAGAACCCTGCAGAATCAAACACACTGAAGATACTGAAGAAGAAACAGGTTGGTGTTTATTCTTCATTCTTCACTAACAATACTGACGGTTCTAAAGTTTCAAGTACAGCCTGAATTCCGGAAATGTTGGGACGTTTTTTAAATTTGAATACAATGAAAACTAAAAGACTTCAAATCACATGAGCCAATATTTTGTTCACAATAGAACATAGAGAACATAACAAATATTTAAACAGAGAAATTTTATACTTGTTTCCACTAAATTAGCTCATTTCAAATTTGATGCCTGCTACAGGTCTCAAAAAAGTTGCCACAGGGGCAACAAAGGGCTGAAAAAGCAAGACATTTTGAAAAGATTCAGCTGGGAGAACATTCAAGTTTTTCAATTCAAGTTTATTTGAATAGTGCTTTTCATGATACAAATCGTTGCAAAGCAACTTTACAGAAAACTAAGTTTATACAATATATTTATTAGTATCTTATCAGTGGTGACTGTCAGTTTATGTACATATGGCAGAAATGTATGGGAAAAATCAATTAAAGATGTAATCAAATAGACGATGAACACGAGAAATTATTATATGATGCAATCAAACTTATAGCAAAATGTGGTAGTTCTGTATGTTGTTTCAGGTTTGGCATCATCTGAAGTCCTCTGAGGGGTTGGCATCATCTCTTCTCAGCGGTTCTGGATCCAGACTGAAGCTTGTGTAAATCCTAGTTACCACGGGATGTCAATCCCCTATGTCAATCCCGTGGCAAAAACAGAGAAAAAAATAGTTCATCCGTCTAGTTGCAAATTGTAATCCAAGATATTCTGTGTACTGTTTTTTTGGTCCAATAAGTAATATCCAAATTTAATAGGAGAAATGTATTGGTCATCCAATCTTTTAAATTTTTAACACTCTGTTAGCTTAGATAATTTAGAAGTTTCATCTGGTCTTGTTGAGATATATAGTTGAGTATCATCAGCATAACAGTGGAAACTAATCCCGTATTCTCTAATAATATTATGTAGCGGTGGCGGGCGCTAAGAAAATTTATATCAGATTAAGGAGAGAATATTAACTATTTAAAAAAACTAATTTAACAATCGGATCTGATTAGTTCGGGCGCCAGACAAGCTCAGTCTTGTCAAATATAACCGTTTTACCCAGAAGAGCTTTTTTAAGCCACCGGTTACAAAAATAATTTGAATGAAATGTCCAGACAAAATAAGTTCAGGTTCATAGTTTCAAAGGTGAATTTAACAGTTAATAAATAAACAAACAAACAGAGAAAAACTTTGCATTCTGTTTCAAGTTTAAATGCACAAATGCAACCTCAGTTTCACAGAGATATTTTCAACAATCAATATGGAATCAAACAGAAAACTCAGCAGATTCAACACTCCTTGAGATACAATGTGTAGAAGGTAGTAACAAGAGACAAAAGAAACATGTAAGAAAACATTAAATATAGAATTCTTAGATCACATTAAACATCATTAAACTCTTGATTATATTTGTAGATCATACAAATACCAAACAGCAATGATTACTAACGTTAAGTGTTTCGTGAAAGTGCGCACGTTAATGTTTGTGGATGTTTGCTATGTTTGTGTGTGACAAAAAAGAGTGGGCCGCTAATGGCAGGGGGAAGTTTTCTTAACATGAGGTTTAAGAGATGAACAACAGCAATTCACCTTGAGATCCCGCTCGCACTTGTCCGTATAAGAGACTTGCTTCGCTCTGCAGCTGGTGTCCGGAGGTGCAGCATGCACACTCAAATGATCGCCCGGCAACTCACGCTCGTAGCGATCCACCCTGCCCAAACACAGCGAGGTCTCCACAATGCAGCGACAGCGTCTGACTTGATCTGCATCTATCTGCTAATTACTGCTGCGCTCTCCTGCAGCTCCACCTTAAATACACATTTCCTCACTTCCGGATAATTGATTTCCCTCCTCTGCTCGGCCATAACACATTAAAAACCCTCATATGTTTTTTCATACTGCCACAATTACCAAGGGGCAACATATATATTGAAATAGCAGAGGACCTAGGACAGATCCTTGTGGCACTCCATACTGGATTTAATTGAGATGACTCCCCGTTTAAGTAAACAAAGTGCTAGCGATTGGACATGTAGGATCTAAACCATCTTAAAGCCTGCCCTTGAATACCTGTATAGTTTTGTAATCGATCTATGAGTATGTTATGATCTATGGTGTCGAACATAGCACTAAGATCAAGTAAAACTAGCAATGAGATGCAGCCTTGGTCTGACGCAAGAACCGCTGCCATGACCAGTCTGACGGGGCTCATGCTTGTAACAGTAGCTCGGTGGAGTAGACTCATTTAGACCAATATAATCATTTGGTTTTAGCCAGGTTTCAGTCAAGCAGAGTACATCAAAGCTATTATCTGTGATCATTTCATTTACAATAACTGCTTTGGGTGTGAGTGATCTAATGTTTAGGAGCCCAAACTTTAAAAATAGTTTTTGTTCATTTATTTTACATTTTTTCTGGTTTAATCACGATCAGATTCTTTTCTAGATCCAGCATTAAATTTATATTTTGACCTCACTATTCGTGGAACAGACACAGTCTTTATAGATTGTACAGCGCAAGTACTTCTATCATTTAAGCGGGTAGATATATACTACATAATGTTGCAACCGCCGCCGCCACGACCAAATCACCAATCACAACCAGAACATCTAGCAACTAATTAAGTTAATTTACATTAGGTCTGTAACATGATTAGCTATAAAAGGGATGTCTTCGAGAGGCAGAGTCTCTCAGAAGTAAAGATGGGCAGAGGTTCTCCAATCTGTAAAAGAGTGCGTAAAAAGATTGTGGAATACTTTAAAAACAACGTTCCTCAAAGTCAAATTGCAAAGGCTTTGCAAATCTAATCATCTATCGTGCATGACATCATCAAAATGTTCAGAGAAACTGGAGAAATCTCTGTGCATAAGGGACAAGGCCGAAGACCTTTGTTGGGTGTCCGTGGTCTTCGGACCCTCAGACGACTGCATCACTCAGCGATTAATCACTCACTCACTTGTTTATGAGTTACTGACAAATGTACTGTTTTTGCTTTTATTTCAGAGTTGATTGAAGAAAATGAGAATGAAGAATTGAGTGAAGTTGAGGGAAAAAATCACTTCAAAACTGGAGAAAACCCTTTGAGTTGCTGTCAAAGCAAACAGATAATTTTAAGGAAAACAAGAGCCAAGAAATCTTTCACCTGTACTCAGTGTGGAAAGAATTTGACATGCAAATATAGTCTTGATGTTCACACGAGAGTTCTTACTGGAGAGAAACCTTACAAGTGTTCACACAGTGACAAGAGATTCAGTCAGTCAACAAATCTGAAAAAACATGAGAGGATCCAAACTGGAGAGAAACTGCACAAATGTTATCAGTGCGAGAAGACTTTTACTTCAGCGAGCTGTTTAAAACAACACCAGAGGATCCACACTGGAGAAAAACCTTACAAGTGTTCACACTGTGGCAAGAGATTCAGACTGTCAGCAACTCTGAAAATACATGAGAGGATCCACACTGGAGTGAAACCGTACACATGTGATCAGTGCGGGAGGAGTTTCACAATAAAAGGAAACCTTTTGGAGCATATGAGAGTTCATACTGGAGAGAAACCGTTCACTTGTGATCAGTGCGGGAAGAGTTTTGCACGATTAGCAAGCCTTAAGTTACACAAGAACATCCACACTAGAGAGAAAACGTACACACGTGATCAATGCGGGAAAACATTTTTGAGTGCTTCAGTCCTGAAAACACACCTGAAAGTTCATACAAAGGAGAAACAACATTCATGTCATTTGTGTGGAAAAAATTTTTCACGTCTACAATATTTAAAAGAACATCAGAAATTACATACTGGTGTGAGAGAGTACATGTGCTTTGAGTGTGAGAAGACTTTTACTTCAGCAAGCTGTTTAAAACAGCACCAGAGGATTCACACTGGAGAGAAACCTTACAAGTGTTCACACTGTGAGAAGAGATTCAGTGATTCAGCAATCCTGAAAAGACACGAGAGGAATCACACTAGAGAAAAACCGTACAAGTGTTCACACTGCAACAAGAGATTCAGTCAGCCTGGAATCCTGAAAACACATGAGAGGATCCACACTGGAGAGAAACCTTACAAGTGTTCACACTGTGAGAAGAGATTCAGTGATTCAGGAATCCTGAAAAGACACGAGAGGATTCACACTAGAGAAAAACCGTACAAGTGTTCACACTGCAACAAGAGATTCAGTCAGTCAGGAGACCTGAAAAGACATAAGATGATTCACACTGGAGAGAAACCTTACAAGTGTTCACACTGCAGCAAGAGATTCAGTCAGTCTGGAATGGAATGTGGCAAAGTCGTCAGCTGTTAAGAGTTGATGAAGGAGTGGGAGGAGAAGGACAAAGGAGGGAGGCAAATGTTTTAAAGAGCATGCGAGAGTTAGGCAAATTGTTAATTTTGTTGTGATGGTATGTCCTTTTAGCAGTGGAGACATTAGCAGAGAATGAAGAGAGGAGTGATCGATATACATTAAGGTCAGTAGGATTTTGTGATTTGCGCCATACTCTTTCTGCAGCTCTGAGCTTAGAACAATACTCACGGAGTAGCATATGTGTCACTTGCAGTTTGCTCATGAAGGAAAGAATTTATTTTAGAATTTAATCTTGTTCAGGGAGCTGAAGAAGAGACTGCAACACTTTTAAGAGAGACTTAGGTTTATTTAAAATTTTGTTCTTCACTGTTGTTTCTATAATGACTTAGAATGTTTCTAAATTATTCTGTAACTCTTTAGATAAAAACACGCAATGTACTGCGTAAGTAAACAGGATTTGCAGCGTAACCTTTTTGTAATTACAGTGTACCTATTCAGTACCTCCGTGTAGGTATAAGGGAACAATATGCGAAGTTTGGGGAATAAAGGAATAATAATCTGTAAAATTACAAATTATTTCTACTAAGTATTTTGAAACTAAGGGGTACCTATTCTAATATTGCGTGGTATGTATGACCTAACAACAATCTTATATTTGCAAGCGATTTAGCAAAAATATACACTGTGAACTTTTTTATAGCCTACACATAAAAAACACGCTGGTAATTGTTTCAATCCAAACGCTCGGATGAGACTGTTGGGTTAGGAAGCTGGCTTGATTTGACCCAATTTGGGATGATATCTTTAATAAGTAACCCGATGTTGCTGGGTTATTAATGTGGATGACGTGAATGAGAGCATGCAGCAAGTCATGCTCTCATTTACGTCAAAGGTGAATTCAAAGGTGTGTGGAAAATAGGAGAAAACTATTTGGTTTGAAAACTATTTTCAGGGCTCAGTACTTGGACCACTTCTCTTCTCTGTCTACATGGCATCACTAGGTTCTGTCATTCAGAAACATGGCTTTTCATATCACTGCTATGCTGATGACACTCAACTCTACCTCTCATTCCATCCTGATGATCCGACGATAGCTGCTCGTAACATGGAAACACAACATGTGTGTGTGTGTGTGTATTTTCCTAGAATTTACTGGGAAAATATGTCTTATTGGTTAGAGACAAAAATTTAATCACTGCCAAATTCACTGGAATATATGAAAAGTAAAAAGGCCCAGAAATTTGTTGGAATAATAAGAGAACTTGATTTATTTTAAGAGGAACGAAGAGACTCCTACTTACACTTTTTATTCTTTTTTTTCATTTCTTTTTACTCTCTCTCTCTCTCGCACCTTTTTTCTCTCAGAATCCATGTAATTTTTTTAGTACTTTGCATCTGTTTTGTCTTATATGTGCCTTGCTTAATATTTGTTTATTTACATTTATCAGTGCCATTGTAGATGCATTTTCTGTTCAATAAAATAATTGAAATTAAATAAATAAATAAATACAAATTCCAGAGCTTTTACGGGGCCTCACAGCACAGCACGGGTCACGTGACGGGCTCGGGGGACGGAGACAGGAGTCACGTGGTACCGGAAATAAAGTGCGCAGCTGTTTATCGAGGCGTTCATCACTGATCGCGGATTAATAACACACTCCTTTATTAAATAGCGTCGCGCTGAAACTCACATCTGTTTTAATCGAGTGTTGATCGACATGACGCTGAACCGAAACCATCACCCAAACGGAGGAGTCCTGATCCAGGCCGGAGAGAGGTAACGTTACAAACTACACCACCACAACAATAACACCGCATCTGATCATTAACACCAGTGTACATGTGCTGGTCATCTCAACTGTGCTGTCAGGTCTGTGATGGCATGAATGATTGTAGTTTACTGAATTAATTCATGTAAAGCGTATGATTTATTGGCTGTGTTTAGGTGACTGCACAGATTCTGAGCCTCGAAGTTAAGATGTCTGATTTAAAGAGATAGTCACCCAAAAATGAAAATTCTGTCATTAATTACTCATCTTCATGTCGTTCCAAACCCGTAAGACCTTTGTTCCTCTTCGAAACACAAATTAAGATATTTGTGATGAAATCCGAGAGCTTTCTCACCCTCCATAGACGGCAATGCAACTGACACATTCAAGACCCAGATACATAGTAAGGACATCATTAAAATAGTCCATGCGACATCAGCCGTGAGGCTACACAAATTAGCCTAAACATGCTATAAATTCTAATTGGGACATCATAGAAAGTGATAGTACTCTTAGGACAGTTTTTCCAGAAAAAACATTGGTTAGTTATAGGCATCCGCCAGTGGAGGTTTTATGAGTTTGGAACGACATGAAGATGAGTAATTAATGACAGAATTTTAATTTTTGGGTGAACTATCTCTTTAAGATCAGATCAGTGTGAACAGTCAAATCATCATCCCAGACAGACCGACAGTGTGGCTGATTTCTGAAGGAACTGTAGTAACGGTGTTTGTTCACATGTGTTGAGAAACTCTGCAGTGCTGTTCTGGGAACAGATGTGTGCTTGACTTTCCAGTGTGACCTCACTTCCTGTTTTCATCCTGCGCTTTCAGCATCTTACGAGAATGCAAGAACGTCGAACTGTCCTTCAGTGACGTCACGCCCAAAAACGACCTGTTCAAGGGGACTAAGAAGGGCTCTGTGTACCTCACCCAGTACAGGGTAACTATAACCCACCCAAACACAGCTTAACTTATTCATAACTAGTGCTGTCAAACGATTAATCGCGATTAATCACATCCCAAATAAAAGCTTTTCTTTACATAATGTATGTATGTGTACTGTGTATATTTATTATGTATATATAAATACACACATGTGCAGTAAATATTTAGAAAATGAAATTTACATGCATATATTTTTATACTCTATATTCTTATATTTTATATTATATATTAATATAGTAAACATAAACATAACATATTTTCATGAATATATACATGCATGTGT